AGCCCCCCCTAGGATTTCACTGCTCAATATATTTTTATCACTATGCACTTTAAGCAATATTTTTGATCAATTCCTACAATCAACATTTGAACGTGGTGGGTCATTATTTCTCTGCTGGCAAAATGACTTCTTTAAACCTTGTTAATCAATCTGCCTGGCTTAAGTTCCCGTACAACTTACGCAGTCAGCTGTGCAAACAGCGGGAGCTAGAAAGCAGCTTCCAGAGACACTTGGTTGGCATTGCCACTTAGGTGAAACTCCTCGCCAGGAGCAAATTCAGGTTAATTGCGGCAGGGTGAATTGCTAGGTGCCCTCTCCTAGCAGACGCCGCGTTTCATTAGCCTGGAGAACTTCAAAGCCCCAGTCCTTCCTGAGACTTCTCCGCTGATAACACCTCCTCATGCAGAGCAGTGGCAGTTAAATTGTTTACTCCTGCTTGAGATGGTGGAAAATTACTGATGTGCCTTCTCAGGGTCACCTCGCTTGCTAGGAAAGTTTTGGTCATTAGAGACAAGACTGTTTGCCCTTCTCCATTATCCTGGCAACTGCAGATGAGTTATGTTAAAACGACTGGATCTTGTTTTCTCCAGTGAAGCAGACCCGTCACACTGGCTCTGCCTGAGGTGCACTTTCTGCTACAGCAGCAGTACCTGCAGAAGGTGGGAGACTGTCCTCGAGAAATGGAAACTAATGAGAGAAACCTAATGGGGCTCCTGGTTATCTTCATTAATGAGTCCTATAAACTGCAGATCTACAATTGGATTCATTTTCCTACTCTACCGATTTCTGTAATGCTGATTATTGCAGCAGCTGGGCATTTAATTACACACAAATGAGAACAGAATCAAACCAGGGGAGAACAAAAAGTCACAGTGCTGCAAGTTGCCCTGTCAATCACTGGGTTTCACCTGCTTTTGAGCACAAGAAACGCCAAAGCTGGAGCTGTTGAGCCAGGAAAACTGCTGCTGAACACAAGGATGGTTGTCTCCACAGTGGAACCTGCAGAAGGTACCTCGTGGGGATGCCAAGCCTCCTGAGGACACTGTTTCAGCAGGCGGGGAGGCTGGATGTGCCAACTTGCTGTGGCTGAGAGGGAAGGGAACATGATAAAGGAAGATGGAGAAGGGGAAAAAGCAGCAACATCATGGAGCGATTCACGCTGGGACTCAAGGGAGGACAAATCCCTGTCCTTTGGACAGAAGCACATATGTAAAAGACGGAAGATGCATGTTCTTAACCCATTTTGGGGTCCCTACCTGATTCACTTTTCTAGGATATTCCACTTTTAAGAACACACCAAAACTTCCATCTGTGGGTGAGCATGGCTAAAAAAAAAAAGGGCACACCTTCTCTCTCTCTCTCTTTAAGCAAGGCAAATAACACTACCATATTAAATAACACCACACTATTGAAACAGTAACTACAAAGTACCAGTTCCAAAGCAAACTTAGGAAATGGATGGCCCTGCAAGGAGCAGAGGCTGGCAGACAGCATGTCCTGCCACGCTCTTGCTCCCATAAAGGAAATTAATGAGGACAAGTTTCCAAAGGATACTTACCCCATTTCCACTCTAGGTTACTGCTGGGGGATGGAGAAGATGGACAGACTGGTAGTACAACCCCATAAGTTGACTTTCCCTAGGAAACCCAGTGTGATTGCAGGTGCTTGGAGTATTCAAAGCAGGCTACACAGGTTTTCAGATTAGGCAGTGGTTTTTAAACCTGGTCTCCCCCTTAGGCAGATTCACCTTCCTTGTGCTTGAACTTCTCAAGGTAGAACAGATCGATAAAAATTACGTTCTTCACTGTCTGATCTGCAATTGCTATTTCAGGTGCCACAGCTGCTACTATAAATGTCTTTGTAACTACATCTGGGAGAGACTTTCTTCCACAAGTGAATTTTTAGGATACGATATCTCATAATTACTCATTTCACTATTCTGTTAAATAATCTGTCAGAGCATGAAAAAAGTCTTCAGTGTGCTCCATGACTAGAGGAAGTAGTTTATCTGGCTTTAAGTTAGATTTACAGATCCTGCCAATCCTTGTAGTACACAACGAACATAGCTCTGAGTCATGGGATTGCCTGCCAGCAGCCATGGCAGAATCAAAGGCACTTTCAGTAAATAAACGTAATTCACTTTAACTAGATACAGTTAAAGGTCTCTCCAGCCAAATGGAGAATAATATAGATACTAGATTTACCATATCTACAAGGCAGAAACAAAAAGTTTTTACTGTCATTCCAAACACACAATATTCATTAGTAAATGCAATAAAGTTTTGCATGTAATCCATTTAGTGACAGCTTCTAGTTCAGTAAATTATGCAATTATTGTTTGTTTTCATTGTAATATACAGAGAACTATTTACTGTTTAAATGCTGCTACTTACTCTTAAGGTTTTTAAATAGCTGTAAGCAAATACAAAATATCGTCACTGAGATTAATAATAAGAATGAAACAGTCCAGTGAGCTGAAATACAAAGAATATTCTACTACCGAAACTGCAGATTCAGGAGCTTTGACCATAATGATTTTGCATCTGAATATGGAAACAGAATCCTTCTTACATTAAATCTCTTTTTTTAAAAACCTTAGTATAAACTAGAATACAGAAAGCTGCAGCAGGTATTTCCAAAGAGCATGGATGTGCATTTTCCTGAGTTCATACTCTACAGCTAGAAGAACCTGGGTTATGCCCTCAGGGAGTCGTCCTCATGCAATCCCATCCACACACCTGCATACTGCCCAGTCCCACCCCAGCGCAGGACACACATACACAGGCTTGTACAGGAACACGTCAGGAGTCTCCTTCGGCTACGTGCTTGTCCTCATTTCTCCTCTCCTCCCCCTTGCTGCCAGCTGGGAAGGAGCTGAAGCCTTGATTCATGACCAGTACTGACTCCTCATATCTGCCCCCTTCCCACATGCCAGTGCAACTCCCAAGTGTAACCCTCATCTCCCAGCAATCATCCCCATGAGATACAAGAAGGACCCAGGGAGCCCTCTCGAGCCACCCTTACCGGGAAGAAGCAGTACAAAGCTTCAGTGGGGCATGAGAGGTCCCCTAGGACAAGGCCACCCACTGGAATTGCCCTCAGGAAGCCACAGCTCCAGTTTAAGAGAAGGCAAATAGCTAATATTCAACAGGAGACGAGTTCTACAACAAATGGGTCTATTTTAAATAGGCAAGACAGACTCCGGATGGTTTTCATGCAGAGCCACCAGTTCTTCCTCTACATTGTTCTGTCTCTGAGGATGATTCCTGCCTCAACACTAGCGCTGACCACTCCATCCCGTCATCTGCTACACCTTTCCCAATCCCAAACGAGCTAGTGAGGAGTCTGCATTAGGCTCTTTCCCACCTACCGCTGGCAAACCAGACACCACAGCGGGGTGACAGGGTGATTAATATGGAGTTCTCCCATTACTTAGACTTCTCACAACTGCAGCTGGATAGATGGTGCATCCCTATCTCTTTGCATAGTCAGATCAGACTATTTATTTTCACACAGAATCACACAGAAGCCAGTAAAGCCAGTAAACTACCGAACTGTAAAACTAGTTCACTACAAGTGACTATTTTGCTTCCTTGTAGAGACTGTTGCAGGTGTTATTCTGGGCAAGCATACAGACAAACGAAAGTCCCAGTGTGCATTTCCTCTACCAGGCTATTTAAAAGATGTCAAGCACACAGATGCCATTCTCTTCTGCTCAGAGACACTGTAACTGTGACCAGTGAGCCGTACTGGGCAGAAAGAGCATTCCCAATAGCATAAAAGATGAAGGGTTTGCTTCTAGAGTAGCATCTCTTATGACAACCACTAGCCTTCTGTAGTTCCAGCTGATGTTAGGCAAGACTAGTTAATATTTGAAGCTAAGCAGAAGGCAAATATATCCAAACCACTAGCATTTCAATAGAGATCACAGTACCTAAAATAGCCACAACTTCGTCGTCCTGGATGACTTCTAGGGATCCCGAGACCACAAAGCAAAGAGCATCAACGCTTTCCCCAGCATGATAGATGAGGTCCCCCGGGGCACAATGGATCGTCTGAAACTCCACAGCCAGGGCTCGCAGGCAGCCGTCGCTAGCCAGCCGGAAGGCAGGGTGCTCGTTAAAAACTTTCCGGTTTAGGTGCACACAAATATCTGCTCTCATGTCCTTTGGGCAAATTGAGAGAACCTGAATAAAAGAAAGATGAAAAATAATCAGCTGGGAATATGACACCGGGCCACCGCGCACTTTATGAAGTAACTGAATGGATGCCATCCAGTTATTTCATAAAGCTTCTGGTGGGAGTTTTATCCTGAATTAGGGTAGTCTTTTTCTACACATCTACTGCTTTCACTGCAGCTGAAAGGGTGACGTAGAAGAAGGGACTATTCTGTTGCACTGTTCTCATTCCTAACAGTTTTCACACTTGTTTTCCAGAATTGCAGATGGCACTACTATGTCCCGTTTGTGGATATCCCTCCAGACTTGGTGCCCAGACTATCCACCCACTGCTACTCTCAATCCCTGCAGGAGCACAGAATGGATGCTCAGAGCTGAAGGAGCTTGAAGACATGCAAAGACAGACCATTCACAATAGAAAACACCACATTTTGCTCACATCCAGAAAATCTAGTCTTCAAAAGTCTTGATGTAGATGACCACTTACCGACATGTATCCAAACACACCTTAGGGATTAGTTTCAGTGCCGTACACATATATAACAAGTAACCTGCCCTGGAGGGCTTACAGACTAGAAAATCCAAAGAGTTTGAGATTAGAGCAAAAAGAAAGTATTATGAAACCTTACAAAATGTAAAGTAAAGGTGAGTGAAAAACTGTCCTGTGAACATGAATATGTCTTCATAGTGGATCAATTAAACAAGATCTTCAATTAATTTCTTACCTTAAATAGCTTTCCCTATTGAAATAGTAACACAAATACATCTGAAGAAAGTAAGTGAAAATCTGTGGGTCTTGTTAGGTTTGTAAACTGTGTGTTTAACATTTGCACATCTTCCTGAACACACTAATGTCCTTATAACCCTAAAATGCATGGTACCTAATTGCACTGAGAAGCATGTAAAACCTTTTAAAAGTTTTCCTAGGATAAATAATACAAAAGAGCATGAGATTAAAAGCACTCTGGAAGTTTCATATAAAGACGACTGCAGACCATAGAATCATAGAATTATAGAATCGTTTAGGTTGGAAAAGACTCTAAGGTCCAACCGTTAACCCAGCACTGCCAAGCCCACCACTAAACCAAGTCCCTAAGCACCACATTTACACATCTTTTAAATACTTCCAGGGATGGTGTCTCAACCATTTCTCTGGGAAGCCTGTTCCACTGCTTTATCACACTTTTGGTGAAGAAATTTTTCCTAATATCCAATCTAAACTTCCCCAGGCACAACTTGAAACCATTTCCTCTCACCCTATTGCTCGTTACTTGGAAAAAGAGACGGATTCCCACCTCGCTACACCCTCCTTTTAGGTAGTTGTAGAGAGCCATCAGGTCTCACCTTGGCCTCCTCTTCCCCAGACCAAACACCCCCAGCTCCCTCAGCCGCTCCCCATCAGACTTGTGCTCCAGACCCTTCACCACCTTCGTTGCCCTTCTCTGGACACGCTCCAGCACCTCAAGGTCTTTCTTGAAGTGCGGGGCCCAAAACTGGACACAGCACTCGAGGTGCAGCCTCACCAGTGCCCAGTACAGGGGGACAATCACTTCCCCAGTTCTGCTGGCCACACTATTTCTGATACAAATCAGATCAATAGTACTGATTAATTTCTCATTGTATGGAATGAATCTGGCAGCTTGCTCTGCAGACAGCGTGAGAGATAGGGACATTGGGTCAATGTGTTGACTACCACTGAATATTAGCAAACAGAGGGAGATTCTAGTAACCCTGACTAAGCTTTGAGGCAAATGGTCATGTTAATATTGAAGTAAAGCCATGATTTTAATTTCTGTTTAATGCAGAAAAGGTATAATCATATTATTGTAAAGTATTACCAAAAGTCCTAAAGCATAGAATGAGAAAATAGCAAACAATTTCTAGTTTAATAATAACACTTAGTCCCTTTCTTATTTCAATAGATCAAAGCTCCTTTGCAGTCAAAGATACAATGAATGCAAAAAGGTGAAATAGAAGTTATTCTCCTATCCTCTGTATTACGACAGTCCAAGGCTAGAAGGGCCTACTGCAACCATCTGCAGCAACCTCTTGCGCTCATAATTTTCGTATCAGTCCCAGAACACCTGGCAAAACTATTGTCTAGAAGGCCTTGATTTAATGTTTTCAAATTATATAGGGTAGTTGTTCCAATGGACAGCTACTCTCTCTTTTAAATTATGTGCTGTTTCTGATTTTTCAAAAAATTTTCAGCAAACAGATAGTGGATCCTATCATTTGCTCAGATAAAAGACCTGCAATCATCGGAAATCTCTTCCACATGTAGGTGTTTATAGAATATGACTAGGTTATCCCTCAATCTCATCTTGAATAAACAAGAGAGATAATGTTTCTTGTGCCTAACACTATGAAGCACAGCTGTCTGTTTGGAAACTTCCTCATAGCATCAGGTTTTCTCACTTACAACCACCTTTCCAGATCTACCAGATAACTATTTTTTATTTGATTTAACAAAGAATAAGTCAATGTGGCTTAATGCTATTTTTCTGTAACAAAATGTACAGAACAGATTAAAATACCCTGTATAAGTCTGTTTTATCATAAAAATTAATAATAAACACATTTGACAAGACATATTCCCCATAAATCAACATTTGCGTTAGTAATAATGTCTTGTCTGAGTCGCTGTTGACCATATCCCATATCAGATTTCCATAATTTTATTAGGGGAAAATGTCAATTTTACAAACTTATACTTACCTTAGTCATTCCATTTACCATTAGAAATATGGGCACTCCTTAGTTTTTCCAGTAAAAAACAAAAATTAATTTTGATGGTGAGTGTTTCACCTCAGCCCTACTTCTGGATCAAACAGAAAGCTCACTATAATATAAAATAGAAACATGCCACCTTTCTTCTTCTCAATAGTAATTTAATGAAAAATTCTGCTTTCTCTTGTATCATGACTGATGATTTTTAAAATTTTTATCTACTCTCGGGCCTAAAACATACTTAGAAGTTTTTAACGTCCCTTTAATACTTTCAGTAATGTAAGTGCTTTTGACTTAACAAGGCCATGAGCTATGAATTCACAAACACTGCTCTTAAGATAAATGTGTGTATTCATACATGAATTATTTCCAAATTTTATCTTTTTAGCTTCCAAACTGCAGGAAAAATTGGTTAAACTATTGCAGAGGTTGTTATTGTAAGATTCGGAGATGTTCCAGGACCCTTTGTTCTTTGGACTGTTAATTAATTGTGTCCCTCAAGAATAAAAGCCATATGGATGCAAAGCAGCATATTGTTTCCTCACAAATACAGAGTTAAATACAGAGTATTAAAAGTGAGCACTCAAAGCATTACTCTTTTTATAGACACGACAAACATATCTATCATCACACACTGTAATATGAAGAGACAGAAAAAATTTCCATTGCATAGAAAAGCCAGTCTTAGAAAGCATAACTCAGGAATTTTCTGGTGTCATGATAAAGTGATTCTCCTAATGACATATTGCTGTATGGAGATATATGGAGATACCACTTATCAACTAATACGGCAGTAAATGAGTAATGATCCAAGAGTTAGCCAGGAACAAACATTCTTTCTTTCAGTTTTCTTGTCTGCTATGCTGCAAGTATTCAGAACAGAGAATGAAACAGATAACAACTAAAAGAAATACTTAATATTAAAAGATTTGGAAAAGGAGATTTGACTGATAAAGATAAATGTAGATATACACAGGGGAAAAAACCCAGCAAAGATAGACAATCTGAATATTCAACTATGTGTTTACTGTATGCTCTAAGCACAGGACTTCATGAGTTCCAACCTGACTTTGCAGCACTTCTTTTTGTGTTTATAAATATCAACATTATGAATTTAGAAGGAATCTCACAGATGCTACCAGCTTCTCTATTAGTTGTACTGTAGAAACGGGTTGTTGGTGACACAGATTACAGTATGTAGTAATTTTCCTGCTTCCAAAGAAGACACATAATGTGATATAGGATCGCATAGAAGCATTTGGAAGCTAATGATAAATAGTTCAAAGATCCTAAGAGCAGAAATGGGAAAATGAGCACTTCAAATTCAGACAAATATTCTTCTGAAAATTATCCCTTATTGATAATACAAGTCTTCGACATTCTTGTTGTGAAATGCTCTTACTGAGATGTCAGCAGTTTTAAGGCAGCATGCAACTAAAAAGATACAAGTTGGTAGCAACATGGTTGTACACAAGTCCATATGGTACAAATGCACACACATGGGTGTAAAAGAGAAATTTAATTTAAGGGAGAAGATATCCTGTAACACTCAATCTACTGTTTCACTGTTAGGGAAATGCCTCCGACACTTCATGTTAGGAGAACCAAAGTTCAGCTGGGATATTTGTTCTGGCCTGTGTATTCTTTCAGCAGCATATCAAAAAACACCAAGACAAATTTCCGAAGAGGAAATTTCCTTAGAGATTTCAAGACCTTTCTCAGTGAAATCTGTAGTTTATAAGCAAGGCAGGATATTAAGCTTGCTGACTGCAATGCTTTACTAACTGATGGTTTTGGAGCACGCAACTTGGAGCAGGCAGTCTGCAGGGACCAGATGCTTGTGCTGCTACAGAAGTTGCTCTGTAATAAATCTGTAACCATAGACTTTGCAGTCAACTTTCCCATATGCATCCAAGCAGCATGAAAGAACAGAACCTGCTATGTTTAAATGTAAAATCAGAAGAGAAAGTCAAATTCTACCCAGAAGAAATTCTTCGTTCTCTGTATAAGCTCTGTTTCTACCAGAAAAGGAGCAAGGCTCCATGCCACACATGAACAGTACACATGTATCCACAAACACCCGAACCACTGCAAAGCTGAGAGAGGAGAAAGTAAAGGACACAATGACATTTATCACTTCCCTTCTCTGCCCAGAAGATTAAACCTCCTCAAAATCAGTGTAAGAGAATTGCTGAGCTCTGCCATCATCACCTGGCACCCAATTGATACGAACCCCAACACAAGGACACCCAATGTAGAGATTCAACACCGCTGTCATC